AACTGCCATAAAATTACTAAATATGTGGAATTAGTCCAAATTTTAAAGGAAAATTTTTTCGACCCCACTTTAACTACGTTTGGTGATTTTGCCAATTACAAGTACAATCATAAAGAGGACATAACGCAATATTTTCGCAAAAAATTAGATATTGGTAAAAAAATTAAATCTAACTCATGAAATGATCTTGGAGGGTCTGACGGATGGCCTTCCTATAGAATTAAAATCCTTAATGACGATCAACGCACCCTCTGACCCCATCTCTTGGCTTACTCATGTCCATAAGCTTATTAAGATTAGCGAAAATCAACAAATCAAAAGTGCACCTCCCAGATTTGTTACTCCGATTGGGAACAGTCCCCAAGATTACAATCGATTTAATAGAAGTAGAATTTCAGCTACTGTGAGACAAGATTCTCCTAGACCCAACAATTTCCAACGTTTTCAGAGACCAAGTAATTTTTATAATCGGTTCAGTGGTCCAGGATTTACAAGCCATCATAATTATAATTCTCAAAATAGATTGCCATTGCCACCCAGTCCCTGTAGACTTTGCACCCGGAACGGAATCCCAAATGCTTTTCACTGGTTTCAGGTTTGTCCTTTCAGAGGGGAGAGATCTGATACACCTAATGTTACGCCCCTTGCAATAGAACCAACCCCAGAAACCCCTCACAGTAGTTGACTATTAAAGGTGTCGGGATATTTGCCCAATAAGAAACGTCTAGAGTGTGTTGTAGACAGTGGTGCCACCATATCAATAATTTCTTCCAAAACGGCTAGACAATTACGTTTAAAAGTACAAACAATTACGTTTAAAAGTACAAAGAGTTAGGTCATTTTCAGTAACCCAAACTAAAGGAAACATAATCTTTAACAAAATATGTTGTATACAAATGAAAATTGGACGGATTAGTAACCAAATTACCTTGTTTGTTCTTGATAATAATTTGAATTATGTAATTTTAGGACTTTATGAATGCAAATTATTTGAGTTGAGTATTGATTGTAGTAATTTAAAAATTAAACAGAGAGCTATTGTACTTGACTGCCATTTTGACAGCCGACCCATATCTCTACACCTCCAACTTCAAGGTGGTACAACAAATGTTTATCCATGTGTTAATAATGATGATGATGTAAGAAATTTTCCAACCTGTAAATCTCGGACTACAAATCCAAAGGAATTAGTTTCTCAGTCTAACATTTATGTGAAAAATGCTGTTTCTAATACTGTCGATAACAAAGAGTATAACTTGGAAAAATTGTTAAATGATTATTCATCTGTGTTTTCTAAAAATAAGTATGATGTAGGAAAAATTAATATTGAACCTCAACGAATTAATTTAAATTCTGATTTGCCTGTATCATTAAGACCTTATAGAACATCCCCTATGGAAGAAGAGGAAATTAAGACCCAAATTGATCAATTATTACAAGCAGGTATAATTAAAGAAAGTTGTAGCCCATATTCGTCCCCCGTGACTTGACTTTAGTACTTAAACGTGAGGAAGGTAAGAAAACTAGATTGTGTATAGATTATCGAAAATTGAATTCCCTGGCTAAAACAGATGCAAACCCTCTTCCTCGCATTGACACTTTGTTAGACAAATTAAGTAAAGCAAAAGTATTTTCTACAATTGATTTGAGATCTGGTTTCTGGCATATCCCGATTCACCCTGCAGATACTGAGAAATTAGCTTTTTGCACGAATTTTGGATTATTCGAATGGTTAAGACTCCCTTTTGGTTTCAAAAATGCTCCTGCAATTTTTAACAGAACAATTAGACGAATATTAACAAAAAATAAAATTAATTTCGCTTGCAGTTACTTTGATGATATAATCGTTTACTCTTCCTCTGAGAAGGAACATTTAGAACATTTAAAAATTTTATTTGAGGTGTTTAAAGAGGAGCATATTAAATTGAATCGAAACAAGTGTGTGTTCGCCAGAGATCAGATCACATTTCTTGGCTATGAAATAAAAAATGGTAGAATAATTCCCGATAACCATAATATAGAAGTTATTAAGAAACTTAAAAATCCCAGTAACACCAAAGAGTTACAAAAAGTTTTGGGAAGTGTGACTGTGTATCATAGATTCATTCCGAATTATGCAACTATTAGAGCTCCATTAAACAGACTCTTGAAAAAAAGATGTCAAGTGGGAATGGGATGACCAATGTCAAAAAGCTTTCGACGAAATGAAAAGAATACTGATTTCCAAACCTGTTTTACAATTGTATGATTCCAGTAGGCCATGTCATATTTTTGTTGACGCTTCTCAAACTGCTGTTGGAGCTGTTTTGAAACAACCAGATGAAAATGATGTCCTTCACCCTGTATCATATCATTCCCGAACTTTAAGAAATTATGAGAAAAATTATACGATTACTGAGTTAGAATGTTTGGCCATAGTAGATGCCCTAGACAAATTCTATTACTATCTGCATGGACAAAAATTTGTTATACATACGGACCATGCGGCCCTCGTTTGGCTCAAAAATGTTAAAAATTTAAAAGGTAGACTCTTCCGTTGGTCACTCAAACTAAGTATGTTCAATTATGAAGTAAAGTATCAGAAGGGCTCTACCAATATTGAAGCTGACATGCTTTCTAGACATCCTGTTTCACAGCACCTCCAACATTATGTACATTTACTTGATAGAAATGAAATAATCCAACAACAAAAAACTGATAATGTCTGCGGAAAAAATTACCAAGAGATAAATGATATGATGGTAATTAAGAAAAAGAATTTTTATAAAATTGTAGTACCTAAATCTTTAAGATTAAAATTGTTGAATAAAACCCATGAAAATTTTGGTCACCCGGGAGTTCAAATTATGCTTAACTTAATCACCCCTCAATATTATTGGCCTCATATTAGCGAAGATATCGGAAATTTTGTTAAACATTGTCATACTTGTCAACTTAATAAAAAGAAAAAACAGAAAAAATTTGGTCTTATGCAAGACGTACCCCCAACCGACAAACCTTTCGAATGTCTCTCTATTGACACTGTGGGAGGATTTAATTATTATAATTCTACAAAAAAATATTTACATATAGTTATTGACCATGCAACAAGATATGTCTGGGCTTTTCCCTCTAAAAGTGTAACTTCAGAAACCTATGCCAATTGTCTAAAACAAATATTTCAAATACAAGTCCCCGAAAAAATTCTGAGTGACAGGAATGCAGCCTTCACTTCCTCTAGATTCAAAAAAATTTCTTAAAAAGCATAATGTTAAACAACTTTTAACTTCATCTCACCATCCCCAGACAAATGGTAAAGTAGAAAGAGTAAATCAATCAATAGTAAGTCGACTAAAATGTAAAGTAAATTCTTCTTCTAAAAAAGTACCATGGACTAAAGTGCTAGAGCAAGTTGTTATCGAATATAACAACTCCCCTCATACGGTAACTAAGTTCACCCCAGCATACTTACTATTTGGTAACCTCCCTTTTGAATCTCCAATTGATCAAAATAAATACCCTTCCTTAAATGAAGCAAGGGCTTTAGCAAAGAAAAGAACTATCGAATACCACCGAAAGAATAAAACTAGATATGACATCAGATTTGTAGAATCTAAATTTCAACCTGGAGATTTTGTCCTTTACGAGGAATTTGAATACCCAAATACTAGAAAATTGACTTCACCCTATTCAGGCCCTTATCGGATTATGAATAAATTATCTGAAGTTAATTATGAAATCGACAGGGAAAATTTTCACACGAAGAAACCAACTGAGATTGTACATGCGTCAAAATTAAGGTTCTATTATCCACCCGAGAACTTTAAATTACATCATGAATAAATCAAAATTTATAAATCAATAAACTATCCATAACCCTTCTTTTAGTTTTCATCCTGTTGTCCCCCTTAATAGTTGATTTATCTCTCAGTGTCTGAAAAGTTTGTCTGCCCTTTTCTTTTACTGGGCTCCTTCAAACTTGAGTTTCAGGTTCAATGCACTTTCCGTGTGGGAAACACTCAATTGAGGCTATACTACAAGTAGAGTACTATACCCTCACATTTCCTTGAGCTCATGTTTTCCTATGTTTGTGTTATAAATTGTAGCAACAGTTGAAAAAGTTAAATTTCAGTTGTTGAAATTTCTGAATTTCATTTTATGTTTCTGCAGCATCGTGTACAAAAAACTGGTATGGATGTTGGAAGTTAAATTTTGTTTTGTTATCATTAATAAGAGAAAAATAGAGTGACAAAATATGTTAAAAACCTAGCAAAATGTGTATTTTCAACAAGAGTATAAGAGCTCTAGTATCGTGACATAAAAACTCAAATGTTTTCAGTGCCAATGCTGAATCCATAATTCTAGCGCTAATTAAATGATCCGGAGATCTCCAAAGACCAGTAAAAGACTGAAGATGAGCCTGAATGACAACTCTAATGATTGTACGGACTCATACACAAACTGTGAATGGCATGCCCTAAGATATAAACTTACAAATTCAGTTATATTACTATTTCCTATTGCCGCGTAGCTAACCAGCAATATGTTATTAGTGCTTTATTTGTTCTGCACTTAGTTACTATATTATAATTTCATTAATCATTTTTATTATATTTTATATACTGTATTAATTATATTCAAATATTTTATGTCATATTTTATGTAAACATTTTGTGTGCCTTGAGGTAAATCCAATCAGTTTTCCTACTCACTTAATTTCCTAATAACTAAATTTTCTGCTCTCACTATCTGGACTGTCTTGGGTCGACGGCCGCGACTGCAAGCCTTTTCAGATGGGGGGGGGGGGATAATCTGTAATGATATTTTTAAATCAATTGATTAAATTAAATTCTATTAATATTGCTTAATAATGTGTTGGCGATTCTCTACCTAAATTGCATCCCTGTTCCTAAATTTTGGCGAAATCCTTTCTTTATTAATGACCGTCTTTCAGTTTTTCGCAGCAACAAGCATTGCAAATCGAGTAATCAATTGACCTTGTCAGAGAAGCAGTTTTAAATTCAAAGATTTGTCCTGTCATGACTCACCCTCGAATTGACAAACTGTTTTATGAGAGTGATGTTGGTTGACGATGAATGGTGATTACGTTTGATGAGCACAGTCATTACACCACCAGCAGTTTCAATTCCTAGAGACAGTTGGGGTTACATCCAACAGCAAACAGATCTTGCACTTGTTCAGATTTATCACCATTCAAAATTGCAGCTTGGACTGCAGCACCATATGCGACAGCTTCATCTGGATTAATACTTTTGTTAAGTTTTTTACCATTAAAGAAATCTTGCAGTAGCTTCTGAATTTTAGGAATACGAGTAGATCCACCTACCAGGACAATATCGTGGACTTGAGCTTTATCTAATTTTGCATCTCGCAAAGCCTTTTCAACAGGTTCCAATGTGCTTCTAAACAAATCAGCATTCAGTTCTTCAAAACGGGCTCTTGTTATGGTTGAATAGAAATCTACACCTTCAAAGAGAGAATCAATTTCGATGCTGGCTTGAGTACTTGAGGACAGGGTTCTCTTAGCCCTTTCACAGGCAGTATGTATGAGAAATTACATTTCATATATATATATAGAGAGAGAGATATAGAAGACAGATAAACTTTAAAGCACCTAAAAACCAATGGATTAATTTTTGGAATCAAAGCAAGGCAATTCCTTCAACAATATTAATAAATCGCAACCTCGTATAAGAGTTTTAACACAATATAAAAAAATAATCGAAATTAAAATAATAATTCATATTTCAACAAACTCGAAAAATAAAAATGCGAAAGGGAAAAATATACAAATTGTTAACATGTCAAGAATTAATCTCCTTTTAAAGAGCTCGGTTACCCAAAGAAAGTTTTCTCGGTTACATGAAATTCGAATTCATATTACAAGAATTTATTAAGTAAATAGTTCAGTATTTAAAATCATTCTCTGGGATTTGGATATACTTGGATTACGAGGAAATGACGACGCCCTTATACTTATACTTATAGACTCCGCCCTAAGGGGGTCTGAAGTCTCGTAATTTTGCCTGAAA